TTTACATATTGTGAAATTATTCATTCTGATTGAAATTTATAAAAATGAGAAAGTCTTTCATTACTTTCAACTTTTCCAACAATTTACTTTCAACATACACCTAAAGTTTCTGAATAATTTACAAATTTAAATCAACCGCTCTTAATCTATATTCCATGTATCAAAACAAATCATTTTAGATTTATTATCAGATAAGAGAGAAAACTTAGAAGTTTTAATTTTAATGCATAATATAAATAACGATGAATGTAAAATTTATAAAGGATTAAGGAAGAAAATATATGTAGAAAAATTTTGATGGCAATATTTTGGGGTTTTTGTCTATAATTTTTTAAAATTAATTATTAGCAAGACATTTCTGTTTATTCAATTGGTTAATAAATTTTTGCGAAGTGACTTCATTAATCCGGATTAAAACGAAAACGAGATTAGATTAACATTCAGTAAGCATATCTAAACGATGAACGTTGAAAAGCTTTTGATTCATTTTTGATAGTAAAATATCGTTTTTAAAAGATCGTTTCTCTTTTAAAGAGAAGTATTTCATCTATTTCAGAACATGAAACATATTCGGGTAAGTGTTCCTCAAAGATGAAATATATTTCTACATGAATGTATAAAAGTTTAAATATCCATTTGGTCACGATTGTGCAGCTCAACAACATAGAATGGAGATCGAAATGATCACGAGAAAGAGAGAAATAAAACTATGACAAAGCTTGTTGGAAAGCTTTGTCTGTTTAGCTTGTTGTGAATTTTCTCAGTGTAAGTTTAGCTCTCGTTACGGTAAGATCGCAAAGTAAAAAAGAGAAATTATTATCAATAAATAACTTATTTCTACTTTTTACAATTCTAAACAAATAAAGTTATTTCTATCTGTATAAATGTTTGAGACAAGTTCTTATAAGAATGGTCAACACGAATGCAAGTGGAAGTGTTGCGCAAATATAACATTGCTGATGTTTAATTGATCATAAATCTATGTGAATCCTTCTCCATATAAATTAAAATTGTCGGAACTTTGATCATTACGCATACTTCAATGAATTAGTAAAATCCTATTGATAAAAACATAAATTGAATAATTTGATTCAAGATGTTTGCATTTTACATTTGATCATGAATATGTCAAGCCTTGTTAGAAACTGTGATTTTTACGTGACAAACAATTGAAAAGTGAGGTCGTAATGGGGAAGTTAGAAAAAGTTTACATAAATAGATTGCAAATCATAATATCTGTTAACAAACAGAGAAAAAGAGAGAGAAATAAAATAATTCACTTTGTATGGTAATAAATTTATTAGCGAGTGAAGCTGTTATGGATTAGCAAAAAGTTTTGAATTTTTATCAGTGATATTAGATAATTGATTATAAAATATACAAAAATTATGATTTTCTTAGACCTGCGTTTAGTTTATTTTCAATATTCAATAGTGCGGGTTAAAATGAAGTTTGAAGTTTCAACATTTGTTCAGTTGTAGAATAAAAGTGACACACACCAAAATGTGGAAGCTGAGTCATGTTATCATTACATGAATTATTTTACCTCGATAGAACAATCAGATATTAAATCTTCTACAGATATTTTGTGTGAGAACTTAAATTTTATGATAGTCACGAAACTCTCTTTCAGTTTAAAAATTGTTTCAATTTTTAAGTGCTTCTGTTACACGTGACCAGCTGTTTTAATAAAATATTAACTACATGACTTAAATATTTGTGAGCAACGTCAAAAAAAGAAAAACAATCGAAAATATAATGTAAAAGTCTGTAATAAGAATTTATCGACATTTTAATTGAGCTTATTTGAGTATGTAATTTTTTTATGACTGAAGATATTTAATGTTGCTTGAATTTGATTACATTGTTCATGTCTTTACATGATACAACAAATTTATCCGCGATTTTTTTGTTTGGAATCGTATCCTTGACTTTTTTTTGCAAATTTGCTTCATGGATGTTTTAAAGTTCAGTTTTGGATAGTTCAATACTTGTTAATGCCTTGTTGTATATTGCACGCATCACTTAAGCAGCGAATTTGTTATTTCAAAAGTTTTTTTAAGTTCACATCAATGTCAATTTGTTCAGGTATTAAATTAATATGTATAAGGAAAAAGGTTTCCGGAAATTATTTTTTTTGACAACGTAAACAATCCAGTAAATAATATTTTGTAATGAAACTTGTGACAGTTTAGAAGAAATTTGATTTAGTCTGAATTGTTTTATGTGTATAAAATTTTATGTCAATTAAATAGAAGTTTACTTTTTCTATTATCTACATTGAAAAATCATAGCGATAATCTCAAAAGGTTAAATTTCCTATAAACAAATGATGAGACCGAGAAATTAGATTGCAAAATTGAGACGTTATCATCAATCACGATGACGAGCTTAAACTATCGGCTATAAATTTAAAGCATTTTGTCATTGATAATTAAGCAAGGTATGCTTAAGTAAATTTTAGACTCACAAAACTGGAGAAACAAAAAAGTTTTTTTCATCAAAAGTAGAGAAAAATATTGAAATGATATTAATTAGCACACCGCGAAAACACGAAACATTAATATGAACTTCAGTGAACTTCACTGGAGAGTTTCAACTTTATTTAGAATGTTTTCATTTTTGTTACAATCTTCCAAGCTTAGACTTTATAAATAGATTTGAACTTATAGATAATCTACTATTTATTTTTTTTTCACTAAGTCAGATTAATCTATAATTTTAAATTTCTCATCAACAAAAGCAAATCACGAGAGTAAACTTTACTTTTCAAAAAATGTATGAGAACATTCATTCCAATTATTCTAATCAACATTTTCAACATCATAAGTTTTCACATGGAACGTGATAAGCTATTCATTTTAAGTGTTTTATTCGTTACGAAATCTATTTAATTCATGCTTCATACAATCATTTAAGTGTGAATGTCATATTATTGAAGTTTAAAACATCGCACAAAAATAAAACAAAAAGCTCATGGCTGAAGCATGCTTAAAGAATCGCATTCACTTTCATGTGAAGTAAAAGATAAATTAGTTCTATTGATCTATCATTGAGAGTTGTGTTGCCTTCATTATTATATGGTACAAACCGTTGACCAAACTTACGCCAATAGAAAACAAAAAATCAATGACAACCAATTTTAAATGTTAATGCCGTAATTAAGCGGTCTATTGATTAGTTGTTTGTTGTGATATAATTAAAAATCAGAGAAGTAATTAAAAACGAAATAAATTTCTGTTCAGAAACTTTCCAAAGACAACGATGGAGTCCAACGATGAAAAGAAAAAGTCCTGGAAAGAAATGAGTTTTAAAGAGAAATGTAAACATATAAGAAGAAATATCACAGTCGAACCTATGCTGGCATGTTATATCATGCCAAGTGTATTGGCTGGACTTGCTACACAAAACTTGAATCTCGAGAAAGCTTGTCGTGTGAATCTCGAATACGGTGAAGTGATTTGTGATGCTTTAACTCAACGCAACACAGCTAATTACACTGAAGAAGAACGAGAAGTTCAAACACTCGTAGCTGGTATGCAAGGATGGAAAACTGTGCTACAAAGTCTCATGCCATGTCTTTTGATTCTTTTCTGGGGCAGTTGGAGTGATCGTCACGGTAGAAGAAAGTATGTAGACAATTATCATTCATTCTGATTCATTTATTTGACATTTTCCTTAATTATTTTTAATTCAATAAGACCTTGTATGCTCATTCCAATTGTCGGTGAACTAATGACAGCCATTGGATTAATCTTTTGTACATATTTCGAATCATGGCCAATGGAAGTTGCAGGCATTACAGAAGCTTTATTCCCTGGATTGGCCGGTAAATAAGGAACATTTTGAAAATGTTTTATATTTTTCTCTAATGTGCCAACTTAATCATAAGGTGGCTGGTTTACCATGTTAATGGGAGTATTCAGTTACATTGCCGATATAACGACAGAAGAAGAGAGAACACTTCGGATAGGAATCGTTAACCTCTGCTTTTCTCTAGGCGTTCCCATTGGAATGGCATTCAGTGGTGTTTTATTAAAGTATGTACATAAACAGTCTAAAATATTTTAACGATAAGTTATAAATATTAGAATGCAATTCACGTGCGATTTTTAAAGCCAAAAACTTTATTAACAAACTTCCGGCCTTTTATAAATCTACATGAAGATGAGTAATAACGTTAATGATAGTAAACACTGAATTGTTGTTGAATTAATTCTAACTGAACTTGAATTATACAACGACTCCTTTTATTATTTACTTTTTAGACAAATCGGATTTTACGGAATATTCTCCATTTCTGCGTCATTTTATATTGTCGCGTTAATTTATGGAATTTTCTACGTTGACGAACCGAATTTAAAAATTGATGAGAAGCAGAAACTCAAAGCAGCTGATAAAAGCTTACTTGCTGATTTCTTTGACAAAGAACATGTCGTTGAAACATTCAGAGTTGCATTCAAAAAAGGAGAGAATCAAAGACGATTGAGAGTGTCGATGTTATTGATTGTTGTAATGGTGGTTATTGGACCCATGCATGGTCAGAACATTAAAGTGTTAAACTCTATTCCAAAATTTATTTTAATTCATTCATATTATTAGGTGAAATGTCTGTGATATATTTATTTACACGATATAAATTCAATTGGAGCGAAGTCGAATTCAGTTTCTTCTCAACTTACGCAATGTTAACGTCACTTGTTGGTAAAGATGGAAAGTCCCCAATTAAATTATTTTAGTTTATTAATCTGAATTATATTCAGGCACATTATTTTCTGTTGGCGTATTTTCCCACCTTTTAAAAATTGACGATGCAATAATTGGAGTTTTATCATCGATGTCAAAAATTATATCAAGTTTTGTGTATGCTTTTGCTGCAAACACCTGGCAATTATATTTAGGTCCAATTGCTGAAATTTTAAATGGAACTTCATTTATAGCAATGCGTTCGATTGCATCAAAACTTGTTCAGAGTGATGAGTTGGTAAATAGTTTTAGATAAATATCTGATATTTAATAAGGATGATGATAGTTAAGTATGATGATTTTTCAAGGGAAAAGTTAATTCACTTTTTGGCGTGGGCGAAGCTTTGATGCCTTTGGTATATGCTCCAATGTATACTCAAGTTTATAGAGCTACTATTGACACATTACCTGGTGCGTTCTTCCTTCTTGGCGGTGCTCTAACTGCACCAGCTGTTATAATCTTCTTGTGAGTGTTTCTTAAAATTTCTTATAAACAGGAGGTAAATTGAGAGCAAACATAACTAATAACATTTCAGATGGATGTATAAAGTACATAAAGGAGATGAGAAACGAAAACAACTAATGAACAGTGTAGAAAATTTCAATAGAGTTGATGATCCCGAAACACTGAACAATAAAGACGATGGAAGTGTCATTGCAAATCGTTTCGGGTCAACAAGAAGAAACAGTCAAATAAAATCGAGAAATAGCGTCGGTATTGTCAACACTGGATTCATTTCAGACGAAGAAAAAGTTATTCAAGAAGCAGTTGATATTATTGGCGATCTTCCTGCATTGCATTTGGAACATTGTAAACTGTGATATTTTTATTTAAAAGCACATTAATATTTATAAAGCTTTTTAAAGCTTTTGACATACATAAAAATATGATTCGTAATATTAGTAATGTTAAGTTTTCTCCACTTTTGTTATTAAACAATATTTAAAAAAATACAATATTAAATGTTTTGCACCTCGATCAAGAAATTTTACTTTTTTCTTTCTTCTTCTAGGTCGATAAAAATTAAAGTCAACGACATGAAATAAAAAATTATTTTATTCTTCGTCTTCTTATTGTTTCATATTATCCAATATCCAATCGAGATAGTAACGCACATTTGTGTAGATTCCTTTGAATTAAATTTTATGTTAATTTTACCACAAATATTGACAAGATAATAAGAAGAATACCTGGAAATATGAGATCTTGTCGCTGACATTCAATTCCACCTAAAACAAAAGAAATAATAAAATTATTGCCTTAGTCGTGGTTAAAGTTCATTCATTAATAACCTGATACAACACCATATAAAATCATCCTGGGTTTTCCGTTGACAATCGCAAAACTCTGAATGGGACCTCCCGAATCACCTCGACATGTGTCAGTTTTGTTAAAACCTCCCGCACATAAATAAGTGTCATGAATATTTACGTTTATACGAGAGAATCGTTGGTTGCAATTGTTGTTATCCATTAATGGGACATAAGCTTTCAAGAGAACATCAGAAGCTTCTCCACTCTCAACTTTTCCCCAACCTGTTTTAAATCAAATATGATTCTAATCACAAAGAAATTTTTTGTTGAATCTCACCTGAGATTAACATTTTGCTTCGAACATTTTCGTCAATATTTTCAATTTGATTCACAGATTCTGTTGGTAAACAAATCGTCTCAACATTATTTCTTGATGTATCAGCAGGTGTCCTCAATCGAAGAAGAGCGATGTCATTAATCCTCAAATGTTTTATGTATTGCTGATGTCTATAAGAATCTTCAATTTCGATATCTTGAACGGGATCAAGGCAGTCGGGCTCACAATTTTTGTCTCTTGATCCTTTACAATCATCGATGCAATCTACTTCAGTTGATATTTTATGCTCTCCCAAACGAATTGAAACTCTGAAATTAATTATTGAACATTAAAAATGATCAAAATTATAAATTCCAAAGTTCTACAAATCTCTGTTTATGCAATGTGCTGCTGTCAAGACATAAAATTTTGTAATCAAATTTCCTGTAATCAATATAAATTTATTAATACAATGCCGGTATTAAAATTTTATTTTCAACTATTCACCTCCACATCCAAATGTAAGTGTGTTGTCTAATCTTGATTTATATCTCAGCAAAACTCTTTTGGTTTCAGAAAAAAAAAAGTTATTTGCGTATAAAAAATTAACACCACAAACTTACGACCACGGCAATTCTCCTGGTTTTGCTTCATATCCTCCAACGATGCGATCGACACTTGAGCTTCCACATTTATCATTAATCAACTTGTAATTAAGATGTGATTTTATTGTTTCTAAGTCACTTGCTGCTGGTAATGGTAAATCAGGTTTTGGAGTTGCAGATTTTAATTCAGAAGGACTTATTGGGGCTTGAGTTGTTGTGACTATATTGTCAGGACAACAAACAAATTGCTAATGTTTCGAATTAGTTATACACTTCTTTATAGTTATGAAAAGTTACTTCAACTCACTGTGTTACCACAAGCATGACCACGAATGCGTTCCGCTTCAGCTTGTGGGAGATTTCCTCGATGATCTTTTATAATACTCCAAAATGACTGACAATAATGCAAACGAACACAAAGTGCTTCTGCACTCTTGTCAGGTAGAGTGCATGGCGAACCTTCATCTTCTACAAAGAAACAAAAAAATTAAATGGATTTCGCACTTAAATTTTAACACTTTTTAGCAAAACTTGTTTATATTGTTAATTCAATCTTACGCGAGTTGCACGGGAGAGATCTGATGGACAATAACAAAAAAATCCCGAAAATGTAAGAGAGAAAAATCATCGTCTGATCTTTGTGACTCGGTTCACTTAATCACACGTTTTAAAGACTTCTGAAAATATTTTAATAAGCGTCTTGTCTATTGAGAAGCTGGAGAGAGACTGTTTAATCTCAGTTACAAAATAATAATTCTGAATTGCTTATTGATGCTTAAACCGGATTTCTTCTTAAACGGAGAGGGTTTAGAAGTTTCATGAGAAATTTTTTCTTTTTATATTTGTCAAAGAAATTCTACAATATTCAAAGCTCGGAATCGAAAAGAAAGCTTTTTGGTAATGATGATGAAATCTTTAATTTTATTATCCAAAGTTTGACTATGGGCAATATTTTCGTTAACTAAATTAAAATAAATTATGATCAAAACAATAATTAAAAATAAAAATAAAAAATTTATGTTAGCGGTGGGATTCGAACCCACGCCCTCTTACGAAGACTACGACCTGAACGTAGCGTCTTAACCTCTCGACCACGCTAACTTCATCATCATTCTCGAAATTTTGACAAATGACGTATTTTATAACAGACAAAGGATTTATATTTCAAATTAAATAAATTTTATTCGGATCACGAAAATCTTTCAATTGAAATATCATTCAACAGCAATAACATTCATGAGAAAAGTTTTCTTAATCTATTCATTCTAAAAACTTGCGTTATTGATTTTACCTGTTGATATGAACCAGAATGGGAAATGAAACAAAAGTTGTCCAATGCATTCATGTTGATAATTTTATTTTGTTTTATTAAAAAAAGGCGAGAAAAGGTATCTAAGCAATAGAATATTTAATAGCAATAACCATTATACGATATAATTACTCGTAGATTGGACGTTAAATATTTATGTATGAATAAATTTTAAAGTTAAAATAACTAAAATTTCATTAAAATATCATTGAGAATTACGTCTTTCTCCAACAGGATCATTTTGAGGATATTCACTTGAATCGTAATATCCAAGATCCGATTGTCTCATCACATTTAACTCTACTTGGCTCATTCCTTTTAATTTCTCTAATATAGCTTTATCAACTTTATTATTCGGCACTTCATAAGGATCAGGGTTATCGGACTTATTTTTTTTAGGACTCATTGGAAAGGAACGACGTGTCACAACTGACTTCGGAGATGAAGAAGTTGATGGTCCAGGAACAGAGAATGAGACTGTTCCTCGAGTTGGTGTTGTATTTAACTTAGTTTTTGGAGAAAAAGGTGATTTAGGTTTAGGCGATGATCCAATTTTAGGAACTGACACAGGAGTCGCTTTTCCTTGTAATGTATCTTCATCAGCAGCTTCAAATGCAGGATCTACAGGTGTTGGTATTGAAAACAAATACTCATTCTTTGGCTTTAAAAGAGAACATAATTCTTCAATCCCATTAAGTGCTTGATGAAGTTCATCAACTTGATTTCCAGGAATATGTTTACGTAAAACTGATAAATAAATCATTAACTTTGATCGACTGACACTCATAAGATTGTAATTATCTTGCAACTCCATTTTTAATACTTGTGGATCATCCAATGTGTAACCATCTACAATACCATCATCAGGCAAACTTGTGTTTACTCCTACATTTGGTTTTGAAGCCTCTCCATGCTTTATTGAACTTAAAGTTGATCCTAAATTTATTCGAGCATTTGATGTATTGTTGAAAGCCACAGAAGTTCTGTTCGAAGGAAGTTTCACAATTGTAAAGTCTTCAGTCTTTTTATCCTTTTTCTTCTTAGCAGCTGTAGCAACATAAACAAATGCATTTGGTGGGCATGGAAACTTTTCGGGAGACTTCATGAACAATGCGTGTCTGATTATAAGCATAACGTCAGCGTCTTGTGGATATCTCATCAAATATGACATACATTCAGGATATTCGCTAGGTATTACTAAAAAAAATTATAATTTAAGCAATAGTAAAAATTATTTTAATTAATTCATTTACATTTGTCACGAACATGGACCAACATTGCAACAAGAACGTAGTGAGTGAAAATTAAATTTTCTCCGACACCGAAAATTGCATCCCATAAAATAAGTAAATCGAGGAGATTGAATTCACGGCCAAAAAGAAGTCGTAGCCATCGTCTAGACATAAAAAAGTTAATTAATAGATTATTCACAATTATTTCTCACACTCATCTTACATTCCAAAAAATCCCATCGAAATCTCAAGTTTCAACAAATGATTGTGTAAATGTAAATCTTGCTTGGCAAAAATCTTATCTTTTATATTATTGAGTTGATGAAGAACTTCAATGTCAGGTTTCTTAAGATTTGTTGTTGGCAAACTGATTAATTGGCCAGATGAATTTATTGTCATGTCGTTGATTCTATAAAACAGCTCCAAACTCTGCATAATAATAGCGAACAGATGATAAGAATCTTCTTCTAAGAATGTTGGATTTAGTACATTTTGTAATGTTCGATCTAAACTGATCTCAGTTTCATCTTGAATGTGCGAAAGATTTTGATGATCAGAGTGAAGTACAAAAATAAGATTGGCGAGTACTTCATGCATTCTAAAGGAAATATTTTATTTTAAAATTAAAAAGAAATCAAAGTTCAATTATCCTTACCCTTGACGATAACAAATTTCAGGGAACTCGCGACCATAACAGAATAAAATGTCAATCATAATCTCTTTAATGTTATTTCTATGATAGAATTCAACAGTTGGGTTTGTTCTCACGACGTCTTGAGTTATTAAGTTCCGTAATTCAGTGTCTCTAAAGTGTTGATTCCAAAAGGAACCATTTGATTGAGACAATGGGTTGTCTCTTTCTTCAACTTGTAGTTTACTAGTATCAATTATATGTTTACGTCTTATCTCGTGATATTTCACACGCTGTTGACTTCGTTGCTCTATCCATGTTTCGGGTGAATTGTTAAGGCCGCCAAGTAAGACGTTCCAACAAACTGAACGAAATTTTGAAGTCTTAAGTTCGCCAGACACAGCCATTTCTTTTAATTTACGAAGACCTGATTCTGAAGCGAGTAGAAGTAAATCACGCCATTCGGTTCTAAATTGTAATAATCAAAAGAATTTATTGTCATTCATTGTGATAAAACTCAACAGAATTTATATGAATAAAAACAAGCGAAGCTTGTAGAAATTCTATGCCCTTACTCATAGTTTTTAACATTTTGTCCGTATCGACTTGATTGTCTTGAAAATTCTTTATCATCAGAATCAATTGTTGTTTGTTCATTTTTCACATTTTCATCAAATTTCTTTGAATCAACGCTTTCCCTACCATTTGAAGCCATTTAAATAAAGTAATTTTATATATAACAAATAACTATAATTAAAAACTATGCAAATGTACGATATAAAAATGATTTTGTTGTGAAACAATCTTCTTTGAAAGAGATTGAAGTGAAATAAACAAAAAAGGAAAAGATCCGCCTAGATGACGCTTAAGTAGGTTTTAAATCAATTAATTCCGCGAAAAGACGTTAAAAATGATAAAACTTTTTATGTTTTTCAATTCAATACGTCAAGAGATTTCCTTTTTTGTATAATGAGTATAATTATCTGTATACTTAAGATAGAAATATAAATTTCTTGAAAATCGTTCAAAACTCAGTTTTGAATTCAAAATTTTATTTTCATTTATTGAAATTTTCAATTAGGAAAGTGCTTAAGTTTCAATCCTCGATTATATTTTAGAACATTTACCATGGCCATGGTTATGTTTTGAATTTGTTTTCCGTCTCATTTCTTCTATGGGAATAATGTTTGCATGTTTACAATGACTAATTAAGAAATGCTTCTTCGCAGATGTCTTAAACAAAACCAAAATGATAAAATTTAACACTGATACAATATTTAAGGTAAAGCTGGTTTATTAGGCATTAACAACCAAAGTTTCAAGATAATCAGACGTGTTATTTAGTTTGAGCTCGTCTGAAAATATTTTTATTAAAAAAATTAATTCTTTAGTTTTCCATACTGAATGAAAGGTGATTAATAGAATATTTGTAATTGAACTTTAGTCTACAAATTTCAATTCAAGTAGGTAACTTCCTTGTACGATGGTTTTTAGTAAACACGTAGTATGTGATGTCTAATATCGCGAAGTTTTGTTATTGAGAAGAACTTTTCCAAAATTGAAGTTTACGGTTTGGTGACGTCGATCAAAAAATTTAATTTATTCATTATTTTTCCTCTATAGCCGTACAAGTGTTCAAAAACAGGTTATAGATTGATAAAGACTTGAAAAGCTCGTCTTCTTTCATATCAAACAGACAGTGAATATAAAAAATATATCTAGGACGTGATGTCAATTTTGTTATGCCGACAATAATTAATTCAATTAGTTAAAAAGAAGATCCGCTGATCTTGTAGCAAAAAATTCAACACCAAGTGGATTACATTTTATTAGATAAATTTTATAAATATAAAACCAAAAA